AACTCGTGCTATTTCAATTGTGTATATGTAATGTTCATGCTATGGGAAGTGTGATAGTCCGAGCTGGAGTCGAGGTTAATCCAGCCTCCTAATGCACCCCATTTCTCTCCTACTCCTTTAACCTATCCAACAACCACAAATAGTTCCTACTCACTTTTCTACACTCGTTTCTCTTATACAAGACATTGGCTCATTTGTTGATTTCTATAGACTCCCTAATCTTACGCTTTGACTTCAAGTCTCCGTAAACCGCAAAACTTTGTGTTTTTGACCAGTCTATTAAGTGTCCTGGATCGGCCATGTGCTCAGCGAGTTCAGATTTTTGGACGCACATACCTTTAGAAGCAGTTTTGAGTTCGCATAGTCTCTTCTGTATGGGTCGCAGGTCTCCCTCACATAGACCTAACCACATGGCCACAAAACCTTGTAGTAACCTGATCTTGAAATATGGTGTGAAAATTCTCTTAACGAAGGAACTATTGAAGAAACTGTTAACTTCCCTTTATCCATTGTTCAGATGTTCCACTTCCTCAGATTATCCAACTTTCTCACCCAACTGACAGGAAGGCAAAACCGGAAAACGAGTAGAATGGTCCAATCGATTATTCCATCTCAGATAATAAACTCCCCTCATCTTGTTACTGGCAATTGATATGTAATTGTCTACTACTCCTAATGGATAATTGTTTTGTAACGGTATATGCCTAAATCTACCGATCTCCTGGTCCCCGTGTTCTACATCTGCCAATCGCAAACTCCTTATGCCATAGAGCTCATAACTCCTATTTTGAAATACCTGAAGAGAAAAATTTAATAAACAAGAGGTTAAAAAAAGGCAGAATTTGTGATACCTTTGCCTATTGTCTGAGCAAACGCGTGGAAAAGAAGGATTCTATAAAATAAGCAAAAAGGAGATGTCTGGATCAAGGATCTATCGCCAATCATGGGAAAAAGGATCGCGAGGACGAAGTGAGTGGGGAAGTTTTGGAATTCAAGCAAAGACGTTCTCAGCAAGTCTAGTTTGTCCGAGGAAACAACTATAGTCATATGGTCCTGGAGACGGATAATCACAACCGTCACGGAAATTCAACATCATGGCTAAATTGACTAGGAATCCACTCGAGATATGGCAGACGACCAGGGATAGACGCTTACAGTTTGCTCAGGCTACATGGATTTAATCAAGGAGACGACCCGTGAAGGCAATGCCTGATATCTGCAAGCATGGCAATCAGAGCCTATGCGCTCTGCTCAGTGAGGCGAAAGTGTACGTGCCTATAAAGACTTATGAAATAGCGCTTGAAGTAAAACGGACTGGAACCGAGGGAAATCGGTCAACTAAAAATAAGAAACAGATCTACGGGCCCATGCGGGAGATCAAGATCCAAATTGGATCAGCAATTTGAGAGAGATGGTAAAGGTAAACAACAGGTGTGATGGCGCCATACTAAACTCTAAAAAAAGAGCACACCTGTGGAGTGCAATATAAACAAGTTAGGAGTTGTGATAGGGTGGGAATGTGATAAAAGGATAAGGAGTAGATAGATGGGACAGGACAGAAAGAGGAGTGATAACACAATAATTTTGGCAGAAATTTGGCCAAAGGATTGACTTAATTTGTCCCTTTGACGAGTTTGTAGTTTGGTACTGAGAATGGCAACGAAATGTCTGGGAATGTACCAAGTCCACAGTCAGACGCTGGGAATTATTACTACTATAGCAGAGGACTTCGGACAAGTTGGATCCAACTAAGTCGCCTTGACAACACGACCAAGTTGCGAAAAAGAGATCATTATTATTAGACCTCTACTTGAAGTAACATTGACACATAGGGGAACGTACTCAAGCATACACTACATCGAACTCCAATTTGACCTATACTGAATGTACTTTTTGCTAGTAGTCAAAGCAGAGTAAGGCCACAGAGATGTCCCTTATTTATTCCAAATAACAATACCAGCAACAGCCTCGACAATAACAAAATATGTAAGTAGAGTTTTGGGACTATCAGTAAATCAGTAATATGAGATGTATTCACTCTATCTCGTTTAAAGTGATGAAGGACTGGTAGTAGAATTTTTCCACAATGATATGCATAGAGCTGACGTTTCCAGTGAATTCTACAAAAGTTGTTCTCATCCAGGGTGGACTGCGGTTTAGACCTCGCATCGGTCTTACCTACACCCCCAGCGGGAGTCGAACTGTGACAATGCAGAATGGGAGCTCGACACGTTAACCACTCGGCCACACTGCCACGAGTGCCCTTGGGTCACAAGGCAGATGTGAATTTCAAGGAAGGCCAGACCTACTGTCATATCATTTTCTTTAGTGGGATTTTCGGTGAAGCAAACGTACATTTGCCATAACAATCGATTACGTTACTTATGGTAGTCTCGAAACTTTACTTACATAGTCGATTGCTATAATAAAAATACGTTTGTTTCATCGACAATCCCACCACATAATGCGATATGGGAAGGCCTGGCCTTCCTTAAAATTCACATCTGCCCTGTGACCCAAGGACACTCGTGGCAATGTGGCCGAGTGGTTAACGTGCCAAGTTTACATTCTGTACTGTCACGGTTCGACTGCCACTGGGGGTGTTGATAAGACCTATGCGAGGACGAAACTGCAGTCCACCCTTGATGATTACAACTTTTGGGAAAGCAAGGCTTTGTGAAATTCACTGGAAGCGTCAGCTCTATGCATATCATTGTAAA